TTCCTGCAGCAGGAGGGCAGAGATACAAATGAGACAAATTTTGAAGAACTATGGGGAGGTGTCAGGATCCTCATATCAACCCATTCTTGTGGGAACTGATCCAGTCCCTAAAGGTCCACGTTAATTCCTTCAAAGATGCTTCTCCCATCACTTAGTTACCTTCTGCTAGGGTCGAGTCAGCCACCTATCTATCTTGAAGAATCTGCCATGTCAACAGCATCACTCTGAAGACCATGCCCCCAACACATTAACTACTCCAGAAAAACAGCATCGAAACCCTAGTAGCCCTGTCTGAAGAATATCCGGGTGACCGTGTCAGGCAGCCAACCCACGCACCCTGGAAAAAATAAAGACACCCACACCCTCATATGCACTGTCCTAAGAGTAGCCATAGCTTACGGGTTAACAACACAGCCCTTCCCCTAATGCATTCAGAATGAAATTTCGTAAGCATATTTTTGTTTACCATGTACTAAACTTGTCTGCCCTGTGCCACTGGAAAAGATTATTCATGTAAGTTTCATCTAAGTGATTTGATTACATTTTTCTGGGAAACCCTTAGTGGAAGAGTTCCATGTCTTTGCCCATAATCATAATTATCATTGATTCAGCCATTGGGAAGGGTTTCAGAGGTCCCCAGTTCAGTCTTTTAATTCACTAAGATAACAAATGTATGTAATAGAGTTTCTCCTCTTCAGGACTCCACAGTCTAGTTAACGAGGCAATATTTTTAAAGAAATGGCATTAAATAAAATGAAAAGCACCTTTTATCAAGTGTATGACTGGCTGGACTACAAGCCTCTGAAGATGTATTTGTGTATGATGTGTATATGTATGAAGAAATGCCGGCAGGTGGAGAAGTCAAGGCAAGAATTCAGGGAAAGAGAACAGATGAATGACCGCCTCCTACCCAGCTAACCTTCCCTACTCTTGCTTGGTCCAGCGCTCCAAATCAGGGAATGGTGCCGTTCACTTTTAGGCTGTGCCTTCCCACACCAATTAAAGTATCCAAAATAATCCCAAACAGACATGCTCATAGCCAAGATGATCTCGACAATCCTTCACCAAGGTTCTCTTCCCAGGTTGTCCTAACTTGTACCAAGTCAACAATTAGAGCTGTCATTGTACTGTACAGCAGTGTGACTCCGCCACAGAGGAGAAAAGCAACAGGCTCATGTGCTGCTGTGAGACCAAACGTCAAGGAAATCTAAGTCACATCAAGACCCATGAGAAAACATTCCACATTTTTAGCTACTTCAGCTTGACATTCTTGTGTCACATTTGCTTCAAAGGCACGCCCCCAGTAGCCTAGCTCCTCCCACCTCACGTTTTTACCTCCTCTTAACACCATCTTGTGGGGAGACTACTTATTCGTCCCAGCCACCCAGATCCAAAATAATCACACAGAAACTATATTATTTAAATATATATGTATATAAATATACACTGCTTGGCCCATTAGCTCTGTTTCTTATTAGCTAACTCTTACATCTTAATTGAAGCCATTTCTATTAATCTGTGTATCACCACATGGCTGTGGCTTACCATGTAATATTCCAGGCATCTGTCTCTGGTGGGGTTACATGGCTTCTTCCTAACTATTCCTTCTTTCTCCCAGCATTCAGTTTAGTTTTCCCCGTCTAGCTAAGTTCTGTCCTATCAACAGGTCAAGGCAGTTTTCTTTATTAATTAACCAATCGTATTCATAGCATACAGAGGGGAATCCCACATCAACACCATGAATGAGAGTCAATCTCAACACAAGAACCTGTGAGAGACAGTCCAGATCCAAATAGAATCTTAGTCATTCAGTAAAAAGATCAAAGTCCAAAGTTGGGAACAGAAAGGATGGAAAGGAACCAGGCGGTGGTGGCGCAGTCCTTTAATCCCAGCACTTGGGAAGTAGAGACAGGAAGATCTCTGTGAGTTCGAGGCCAGCCTGGTCTATAAGAGCTAGTTCCAGGACACCTAGGGATGTTACACAGAGACTCCCCCCGCCACATACACAAAATAACCCCAAAACCAAAAAGGATAGAAAGAGCCAGGAGACAGGTAGGAGATGGGTCTGACTGGGTGTAGCATTTGACATTTTCCTTAGCCTGATAAAACAGCTCATCTTTGGAAAAAAGATCTCACAGCTCTGGGGTTCAAGGGCAGGGCACCAGCATCAACTCAGGTCTGCTGGATCTCTTGGAAGGCTGCAAAAGCCATGCCAGTGGGACATCACATTGCCAGTCAGCATGCCAGAGAGCAGTACAGCCTCATGCTTGTGATGACTCACAGGCGCTCAAGGCTCCCACCATTGTCACCACCATCCCTTCCCAGTGCTGCTCCCCCAGTGACCTCAGCTCTCTTACCACTTCCACTCCCAGGAACTAAACTCCCAACACATGGACTCAAAACAGTATCCAAATCACAGCAAGGAACTTGTTTCACTCACTAATTCATTCATCCATTCATTCATTCATTCATTCATTCATTCTTCTTTCATTCATTCTCCATTCATTCTTGATGCTGGGGATTGAACCCAGAGCCTAACACATGCTAACCAGTCATGAGCTAACACATGCTACCCAGGCACGAGCTAAACACACGCTAACCAGACATGAGCTAACACAGGCTAACCAGTCATGAGCTAACACAGGCTAACCAGTCATGAGTTAACACATGCTAACCAGTCATGAGCTAACACATGCTAACCAGTCATGTGCTAACACACGCTAACCGGTCATGAGCTAACTCATGCTAATCAGGCACGAGCTAACATATGCTACGCAGGCATGAGCTAACACACGCTAACCAGGTACGAGCTAACTTTGATGCTGTGGCTCGAACCCCGGGTCTTGCACCTGCTAAGCACATTCTTTACCACTGTTCGACATCCCGAGCCCCTGAGGATTTTTTGGAACTGCAGTCTTCCAGGCAGAGTTAGAGCAGAAGAAAGAGCCCTCTGGCAGACGCTACTGCTGGCACTGCTGCAGCTAATAGAATTTCATAATGGAATCAAGAATAAATACGGCCAGCAGAACTGCTGGGACGTGAGGAATGGGGACACGGAGGGTTTGTGAATAAGTACAGGGCTTGAGGTCAGTGGCTGGAGGCGAAGACAGCCCTCTCTGGATGACTGTGAAGGCAGAGGGCCCTTCAGGCTGCTGTCACCGGCCACTTAGACAAGCACACCTTCTGGGCATAGCTGGGAAGGCTGGGAATAGGGAAGGTAAAGGGGTAGGAAGAAACGAGAGGATACCTCTACCAGTCTGAAGTCCTAAAGGCTAGCTAGTTCCCTGTGGGCCGCAGTGCTGTTTCAAGGACCAGCTAAGAACGTAGTTCCAGGCACTTTAGAGTTCTCACCCCAACTGCCCAAGCAGCTGCTCCATGCTGAGCTTCTGCTGTTTGTGAAAAGGCTTATTGTTTGTTTGTTTGTTGCGTGTACAGTGTTCTGCCTACAAGTATGGTTGCAGGCCAGATGAGGGCACCAGATCTCATTCCAGATGGTTGTGATCCACCATGTGGTTGCTGGGAATTGAACTCAGGACCTCTGGAAGAGCAGGCAATGCTCTTAACCGCTGAGCCATCTCTCTAGCCCCATGGAAAGGCTTTTTAAAAGATTCCCCACCTCTTTAGGACTTGGTCCCACAGCCCACACCAGTTTTGTAAGTTCAGGCTCCCCTGTTCAAAAACTAAGAGTTTCGAGATGACAGCATCATTGAGCCAAGCGAGGGCTCCTTTGAAGCATGCAGCCTTGTGTGGCTGCACAGGATGTGCCATTCTGGGGCTCTGCCCTACCTGTGGTTGAGGGTCAGTGCCGCCACAGATCTGATCTCACCTCACATCCTTGCTGCATCGTGACTGAGGGTGTGCACACACCTGGAAGAAACTTCCCCCTTCTGGCACTCCTCCACACCCCCTGCTTGACAGCTTCAAGCCGGTTCTCATCGCCCTCCCACACGTGCGTGGTAGTCTCTAGAGCAGGGTCCCAATTCCTTCTCCTTGCTCCTTCCGGCTCCTGCTGTCTTGAGATGGCATTAACCTTCTGATGAGATCTCAGTCATGTCACCTACTCGTGGGAGTCACAAGATGAGACAGATGCAATGTATCTGGCCTTCTTGGCACCACTATTCCTAATTGGTTTCAACCTTGGAGGCACCCAGGGCATGGCTGGCAGGTCTCTGGTCACCCACGGAGGGTCTGACATCTGACACACTTATTGCAGAGGATCTAGGCAATCCAGAGTCACTGAGAGCTCACTGCTACCTCCCTATGGTGGAACCCCACTGGACTACAGTAGCAATGTGTTTGTTGTGTTATGGGGTTGCGTATGCTATGTTATGATGATGCTTTTACCTCTGGGGAAGCTGAACCCCCAGCCCCAAAGTTAATTGCTTCCTCAAGATTACTCAGCTAGATTGATAGATTTTGTGAGTGAAGAAATCACTGTCTTGAGTTGCACACCACCAGGCTCATAGACCTTTCATTCCAATGGTCACACAGTGGCCCTAGTTAAGCCAAAAAGGATCACCAAACCAAACCAAAAGTCATCAATCTGGGGAATGAACTAGTAAAGATCGGACAGGGGATGTGGGTAGAAGCAAGAGGGATAGGAAGAAAATAAGAGGGGGCAGAGGAGGGCAGATGGACACATATACATGTAAGATGGTGTCAAAGAAAATCAATAAGAGAAAAGGAAAATCATTACTGAGGAGATAAACTAAAGAGAGCTTTCCTTCACTCTCTGACAAGAAAAGAAAAGATTTCACATCTATGACATGGCACAGCTAAAAATAGAACTCAAACCTTCCATCCCTGTCCCAAGCCACCTGCTGTCCCTATGGTTCCTGTGGAGGACCAGGACTTTGTCCGCCGAGGAACACTTCATGAACACAGCCTCAGGCCTTGTCCCAGCAACCATTTTATTTCCACACGAAGGCATCAACCATGATTTCTGCCTTCCTCCACGGGGAATAACTTCCTAGCTAACTTTTCTTTCTTGTTCTCTTTAGAGACAACCCCGCTACCCAGTTTAACCTCAAAACTCACATGAATTCTCAAGATCTGAAGACAGCTATAGAGAAAATTACCCAGCGAGGAGGCCTTTCTAATGTCGGTACGTGACCCAGATTCGGATAATTCTACCTTGTTACCATGGTGCGCCTTCTATGTGGTTGTCTTATAATATTCTATATCGGAGGAGGAGGGAAAAAATAATCCATCAAGAAATGACACGCAGCCTCTGCATCTTTCCGAAAGTGTCACCATGGATTCGGGTGCAGGGATGGTCAGACACCAGTGCCTCGGGGCCCTTGCTCCTTTGGCTTGCAGCCACATTCCTCGGGACTAATAGGACAGCTGTGATGACTGTGTCATAGTTGGCCTATAAAATACCAACCAGTTAGCACGAGGTCTGTTACTATTCCACTCGGGAGGTCCCTTCAGGGGCCTTGTTCCCATCAAAGTTGTTGTAATGGTGACTACTCCAGGAGAGGCAAGTCCTGTGTCTGAAGATGAGTTCCCTGTGGCATCTAAACCTTCAGAGGGGCGAGTGGCCCTAGAAGTCCAAGCCTAGCTCTCCATGGGGAAGCTCCAGAAGTTCTGGTACCTCTTCACCCAGAGGAGACTAGACAAGGGGGTGGGGTTTACACCAACCATCCTCGAAGGCTGCGGGGGAAGGCTGGTTCTACTTCAGGGACACTTCCAGCCATTTAAGGCCAAGGGAAGTCAGATGCCAGTTACGGTGGTATAACTGTAAGGAGCATGGAGAAAAACAGCAAGCAGAACTAACACCCACAGAGCATCCTTGGAATTATAAAAAGTCTAAATAACGAGTTCCCTCCCTCTCATATCTCTCTAGTGACCAGAACATTAGTATCTGGCAAATGCAGAATCCTTCACAGCAGTGCAATGCTAAATAACCACTAGCCGAGTCACTGAGTCCTGTCTGCAAAGCCACACTATCTGCATCATAAGCATGACAGAGGAGACTGCATATTTGTGTTCAATTTATTGCTTATCCAAGCAAAATTCCGATGAGAAAAACCTAGCAAGGCCCTCGATTCCTGATGATGTCAGAGAGGTGTCCTAATCCAGTGGTACACATTTGCAGAGAGTGATACATTCTTAGTCTGCCACTGCATCATCCGGGAATCCAGGGATGACTGAGGCCCGTGGGGGTTGGTTCATAGAGGAGCACAGGAAGGACTGAAGAGGCACACTGTAGTTCAGGCATTGAGAATGACCTCCCAAGGTGCTGTGCAGAGCAAGGGACAGGAAGGGAGCCACTACTTCTTCCAGTGCCGGGAAAGCTGTTCTCAAACTCTGCCAACAACTTTTCATGAACCTGCTGCAACCAGAATGCAGCCATGACAAGGGAGCTGTATGCACAGCTCACAGCACCAGTGCCATGTCCTATACTCCCCATTCTCTCTCTCTCTCTCTCTCTCTCTCTCTCTCTCTCTCTCACACACACACACACACACACACACACACACACACACACACACACACTAGCAAGTTCCACCCTCACTCCTCAACACCATCAAAGCTGCCAACCAAACACAGCACCAAGAAGCCAAATATACCACAATTTCACCAAGACACAACCCCTGCTTCCCTTTCATTTCCTAAACCTCCTTCAAGGGAATCAACTTGGGGAACTAAGATGAAACCAGAAGTACAGGCCCAAGGGACTATGAGTAATGTGGTTTACAGATTTCAGCCTCTCCTTTCAAAGTGAAGAGAATGTGTGTTGAGCACTGGTCCATTTAGGCCACCATATTTAAGACTGGATTGAGTCAGAGATCTTATGGCATCTTACAACTCATGCACTTGGCTACGGGTGCTTAATATGATGCTGGAAGGGACTGCTGGGCACTTTATACCTCGAATTCTCAAAAGCCATGTTTTTCCTTTACGACGGGGTCTCTGCAGCCAGTTCACAAAGGGTAATCTAAGGCATTTCTCCAGCAGTTTTGGATGCAACCACCTGTTGCTTTCAATTGACAGGTAAGACTTTAAGCTAAGGGAGCCAGGATGCTGAGCAAACCCAGGAGAGCACTAAGTACAACTGTGTTGACTCTAGAGTCTAAACAAGGCGACTGTTACTGAAATGAGAACCCATTTGGGAATCTCCTAGAAACTGTGACATTTAATATATTCACATACACAAGGACTCCCTTTGGGGAACACACACACACAGAAGATCCACAGGATCTACGTTGAGAGCTATGCTATATGCTATGTGCAGTCACGCTAACTCAAAATCAGCCAGCCATCTCAATATACACAGGGCCTATGGCTTTCCATGATAAAACTAGGAAAATTCTGGACAGCAGGGAAAGTGGGTTGGATTAGTTGAAAATGTCCCGAGGCTCTGGCCCAGTGTGAAATAAAGCATGTGAGAAAAGCAAGCCGCCTCAGACTCCATCATTCCTCATGCTTGTGGTGCTCAGCTGAAGGAGATGTTGATCTGGAAATCTAGGCCCCAGGACACTGAGTGACCTACAGGACTGATGGTTGTCACAGCTAAGGCTAGAAGCCAGCCTCTCTGTTGCTAAGAGGTACATCCCTTCCATGGCCAGCCAGACCTGTGCCCTTGGACTGGGACTGCAGAAAAGACATCACTAACCATGGAAGACAGCGGGCCACACAACAGCTGGAGCACGGGGCCCACCCAGGCTGTAAGAGGCCAGGATGAGGCTAATGTCACTCCAAGTTGACCCCTCCCATCCCATGTTCTCAGACACAACAGGGACTGTTTAGGGGCCTGTAAGAGTCTAAACCTGTTATTCCCCCAAGGCAGAAAAGGGGCACTTTGACCTCATGGAAGTCTGCCTCCCTTGTTTGGTAGGCCCTAAAACTTTCTCTTTTCCAACGGGAGACAGTTAGAAGCTCTGGGTTTTAAAGTGAAGCTAAGGAGAAACTGTCCAACCTTGGGAAGAAGCTGACTGCTGCTGCACAGGACACCTGAAAATAAACTGATTTTTTTTAATGTATAAAAAGAAGAAACAGCCAGATGGTGGTGGCCTATGTCATTAATCCCAGAACTCGAGAGGCAGGACAGGAGGATCTCTGTGAGTTTGAAGCCAGCCTGGTCTACAGAGAAAGTTCCAGGACAGATAGGGCTACTCAGAGAAACCCTATCTCAGATAGATAGATAGATAGATAGATAGATAGATAGATAGATAGATAGATAGATAGATAGATAGATAGATAGATAGA